GAAAAGCTCACCGGAAGCGCTGGCGCCGCCATCTTTTTGATGAAAAAGTGCTTCCGCCATCAAAAAAAGATGGCGGCGCCCAGCTGATGCCGGTACCGGGCCGCGGCGCCCAGCTGATGCCGGTACCGGTCCGCGGCATAAAAAAGGTTGGGGATCACTGAGTTAGGGCAAAAGGATAGAATTTTGGAAGGCTGCCAAAGATCTTCCAAATCAACTTATACCTAGCAGAAGCTTTGAGTCTCTAACCTCCTCTTCCTGCTCCCCAGAACTAAGTCGTCCTCTCTGTAACTGTTCCAATGGCTGTCCAACCTCTTCTTGAAACCTCCAGTAATGGAGCCCCCGCAACTTCTGGAGGCAAGTAGGTCCACTTTTTTTGTTCTCACTGTGAGGAAATTTCTCTTTCATTCTAGGTTGCTCCTGTTTCCATCTGTTTCTTCTTGTCCTGCCTTCAGGTGCTTTGGAGAATAGTTTGACCCTCCCCTCTTCTTTATGGCATTCCCTCAGATATTGGAACACTGCTATCATGTTCCCCTTACTCCTTAGACATACCCAGTTCCAGCAACCGTTCTTCATATGTTTTAGCCTCCAGTCCCCTAATTATCTTTGTTGCTCCTCTTTGCACTCTTTCTAGAGTCTCAACATGTGTTTTTTTTTTTTTTTTTACTTTTGGTGACTAAAACCAGATGCAATATTCCAAATGTGACCTTACCAAGGCCTTATAAAAGGTGATCTTGATTCTATCCCTCTGTTATGTTGTGTTGTGTTGTTCTGCAATGCCGTGGCTCCATTTTCCGTGTGCCCAAGATCTGGCCATCATTCCACCACAATTAGCAGCAACTCCTGGCATGTATATTCTCCATTTCATCTGTTTCCCAAGGGAATGCTGCATTAATGGATCTAGAGTGGCTCTTCCAAAGTTCTTAAGATCTTTCCTTCACAATCTTTGTTCCAGAAGCAATTCTTCCAGATGGAGCCTAGACAGCCTAGATTGTTTAATTATTCTTTCCTTAGCAAATGATTCTGATACATTAAACTTTGTACCCTTAGAAAAAATAATTTAAGTTTCTCCCCCCCCACACACACACCCCAGACTTGTGAAGAATGTGTTGGCACCTCCTTTATTGGGTTAGGACACAGCGGTCTCTTTCTCTCCAGGTAGGGCATTAATCTGCCTTGGAAGCACGTCAGTGCTTCTAGCCTTATAAATCGCCCTAGATAGGAAAATATTTTCATTGATCCTCCAATCCATTTCTTGTGATGGGAGGAAACCATGGTGACCTCAGTGTGATCACCTTTCCTGGCACTCATTCTGATGTCAGACAGGCCAACATTGGTTTCTTGCTTTCCTAAAGATCCATGAACCATTCTTTATTCTTTGCTTTGAGTATTTGTTTAACCAAAGCTTTGAAGAATGAATGAAATGGTTAGGTTGTAGCATTGAGAACGTGCTTTCTTTTTTTAACTTTTGGGTGGGAAATTTTAATCTGTTAAATAAAGAATCCCACATTATGCCCACAAACATGTTAAGCAACATGTCTTTCATTGTCATCTTCCTTTTTGCAGTCTGGGAAAAAATTGTCCTAAGTTGATATACAATTTACATGGCATTGCAAAGTTTCTAGATCTACTATTGTAAACATTAATGAAAATAGTTTAATATTACCATCCTATAAATTTATTAAGCACATTTTACTTTTATGATAAAAATGATCAAAATCCTAGAAGAGAGATACAACAGGATGAATCATACAAATTTACATAAAGCATTAAAAATATAGGATAAAATAAGAACAACAGCACATCCAGGAAACAGCACTGGTGAACAAATAAGATTTTTGATTGGTTCAGTCCAATCCAGGAGTAAACAGACTGGAGTTTCCTTTTTGTAGAAATTATGAGGTGTCTCTGTCAGCCCCATCAGACCAGGAAATCAAATTGATAGGATGATTAGCATTTTGCTTTGTTGAGATTGATTCTGATAACAAAATTTTGCAACTCTGATTGTGCCTGAGCCATTTCTGGATGTTATTTCATTGTTCGGGACTTTAAAAAAAAGCTTCACCCTCTTTTGCCGAGTCAACAAATCCTGCTTATCTCTGTCAAGGCCATCTCCTCTCCTTTTTACTTTATCCCATTGAGTTCAGTAGTGTTCCTTCAAACAGCAAGGCTAGGGTTGTGTCCTTGATTTTCCACTTCTAAAGAAGTGTGAATATCAAGCTGAACAAAGCCACAGAGTCCACTGAGTAAAAATGAAGAGCCACAAAGATGATTAGGGGACTGAAGGCTAAAACATATGAAGAATAGTTGCCCAGATTGGGTATGTCTAGTTTAATGAAAAGGAGGACTAGGGGTGACATCATAGCACTCTTTCAATATCTGGGGCAGGGGGACTGCCACAGAAAAGAAGGGGTCCACCTATCCTCCAAAGCCTCTGAAGGCAGGAGAAGAAGCAACGGATGGAAACTCATCAAGGAGAGAAGCAACTTGGAATGAAGTAGAAACTTCCTGACAGGGAGAACAATGAACCAGTGGAACAGAAGTTTCCCCCAGAAGTTCTGGTTGCTCCAACACTGGAGGTTTTCAAGAAGGGGCTAGGCAACCCTTTGTCTGAAATGGCTGAGCAGGGGTTGTGCTAGAAGGCCTCTCTTCCAACTCTGTTATTCTGTTTTCTTAAAATGGAAATGGTTTCGTGTTAAAGCCCAAAGTACAAAACGGATAGGCTGGCGACTTGCTGCAATGATCGATTGTGCCTCCTTTCTCCTGTTTGGGGCCCAGGCTATTACAGGCATGGCCATCGACAACCATCTGTTGGGACTGCGAGAGATGGCCCGAGAAAACTTCGAAGAACTGCCAGACCTCTTTACTGATGAAACTTATTTGGCAAGCAATCGATTTGTTCTCTCTACCAGCCAGGTGAGTGAAATTTTCCTGGGATTAATCAGAGGAAAGGATCTCCATTATTCTCACCGTGACAGTCTGTATGAATCAGTGACAACTTGAGATGAAGCCGGTAAAGACTTTCTGGGGCTCAACAACTCTTAAAAATGTTATGACTTTCCATTTCTTGGGCTTTTGACAGGAGAAATGAACAGCCAAATGAATTGTCTGTCTGTGCAAATAACATGGGTAAGGATCAAATTAAACAAAGGGTAAACTCTAGTTCAAGTAAATCAATGTTCTCTTCCCAAAAAGGGGATCAAAGCTGATTGAGAAACATTCAAGCAAAATATAACCAGAAATGTACCTTTTCTTTATACTGAGAGTATTTACACCAAGAAAAATTCCTTGTGTGTCCAATCACACTTGGCCAATAAAGTATTCTATTCTATTCTATTCTATTCTATTCTATTCTATTCTATTCTAAATATAAAATATTAATCTGTCCATTGCTTAATCTTTAAGCAATATACCAAGCAGGCAGAATAGTGGGAAGAGCTGAGAAAAGAACCAAACTGAACAGAATTTATAAATATATTTAATTTAAAAGTAAATTAAAATTAACTGATTCAATATCCTTAATATGAAGGTCAGTTTGGTCTAGTGGTTAAGAAGACTAGAAGCTGGCCATCCATGAGTTCGGATCCTGCCTTAGCCATGAAAACCAGCTGGGTGACTTTGGGCCAATCACCAGGAGGTGGTGAGTTGTAGTTCCTCCTTAGCCATGAAAGCCAACTCGCCTCTCAGGTTCATTGGTGTTGGGGAGAAAATAGGAGGAGAAAGAAGGTGTGTTTGCCGCTTTGAGTTATTTGTAAAAATAATAGAGGTGGGATACAAGTAATTTAATAAAAATGAAATAACTAAATGATGCCAGAAAAAATTCTCTTTCTCTCAATTTTTTTTTTAATCTTAATTTTATGGCAGGGACCTCTAAGCACCCCACTCCCTTCCCCTCCCCCGCAATGCTCTGAGTATCAAAGGAGGCTCCAGGAGAGCCAGTCTTATTGAAGCCGATCACAAGGATTGCTGGCATCGCTCACCTGGCTGCTTTCAAGCGTGATGAAGTCTTCCTTGCATGTGTTTGCAAAAACCTGCCAAGCATGAAGCTCCAGACTGTTCTCTCTCCCTTTGCTCCTCAGGTCAAGATCACGTCATGGGTGGATTCTTTGCGCTGCTCAACCTGTGTGTGTGTGTGTATGTGTGGACAGTCTTAACCTACCAAATGATGGTGGCCACCCCTGCATTCACCTTCTGCGTGAGATAGACCAAAGGCCAGGCATTGTTTCCTGGTCAGAGGGGAGCTTCAGATGATGCGCAGGGCAGGGCAGGAATCTCACAAGCCTTTCGATCTTATCCTGCTGTCTGGTTTTTTTTTTTTTCAGATGTGGCTGTGCATAAGCCAGCCATCCTTACATAAATTCTCCAAGAAACCATCCATGGATAAAAGGGTGGGGGGGGGAAGGAATCTGAATAGCTTGATGGCCTTTGGCCGGGATACAGCAGCAAATTTATCTGCCTCTTCTATAACTCTGTTAGCGGGACTAATGGCCTGTCCTGTGCCATTAAAGTGAAATGCCACTTTTGAAAGCCTGTACACAACAAAGGCAGGAGAGGAAGGATTTCTTAACCTCCAGCATTTTGCTTTTAAAGGAAGCTTTGCATTCCGCAACAATAATGAAACTGAAAACAAACTGGGGGAGAGGGGGAAAAAAAGAACGACCAACGTACCAACTCTGACTGTAAGAAATAGCTTCTTGCAGAATTTACTGCCTCCAAGGCTTTTTCAAGATAATAAATCTCTGAGATTTGAATAAGCCCAACCCTTAAATGTACACTCAGTAACTGTTCCCTGTTAAGACCATAAGGGGATGGCGGCTATCTTTCATATTAGTAGGTTGCCAATGAAAGAGAATTGACAAGCAAAGGAAGAACGTTATTTCAAGTCTAATGGGTGAATTTGCAGAGGGTGTGCTCAAAAATCTGATTAGCTTTGGATTAAATTGGCAGAGCTGTAGACTGCAGAAGATATGTTATAAAATGATCCAATTAAAAGAACAAGCCTGGCCAGCTCAGTTGTCCCCCAACCCAACCACCCTCATTCCAAGTGGATTAGGATCAAGAAAACAGGACTCGCAGCCTTCATTTTCCAAAGCAAAAGCCTCTCCTAAGAGGTTCCTTGAAATAATTCCCCAACCTGGCAGTCAAGTTATAGAGTGGAACCAGGGAAGGGGTCACAAAGAATATAGAATAAAGCCTCAGAGGTCTTCTAGTCCGATCCCCTGCTTAGGGATTTCAGACATATGGCTGTCCAGATTCTTTTTGAAAGCCTCCAGTGATGGAGCCCCCACAACTTCCGAAGGCAAGCTGTTGGATTGGTTGATTGCTCTCACTGTTGCTTCTCTCCTTGGTTAGCTTCCATCCGTTGCTTCTTGTCCTGCCTTCAGGGGCTTTGGAGAATAGTTTCATCCCTCGCATCTTTCTAGGAGCCCCTCAAATATTGGTACAGTGCTATCCTGTCTCCCTAGTCCTTCTTTTCATTAAACTAGACATATCCCGTTCCTGCAGCCGTTCTTACAGTTTGGCCTCCAGCCCCCTAATCATTTTCATTACTCTTCTCTGCACTCATGATGATGACGTTATCCCTTGACAACTTCAAGGGATGATGATATCATTATCAAATTATGATGCTGAGTTTATCCCTTCAGTCGTGCCTGGCTCTTGATGATTCTGAGGGCCAGATAGTCTCTCCTTATCTTCCAATCTTGCAGTACTTTGAGTTGTTCTATGCTATGATTTATGTCAACTTTGGGGTTCAGCCGCCATGTTCTTTGGCAGCCTAGTTTCCTTTTACTGCAAAAAAAGCAAACATAATTGCTTTCTCCAGTGAATCCCCCAAAGTAAGTGAGATGCAGTTTTGTGATTTTGAATGGGTCAAATAATAATAATTAAATTCACAATCCAAGCACCATGTTTGGTCTCTCTCTTGGAGCTCAGATGATGTTTAAAAATGTGTTCAATGAATTGAAGATGATGATCTTGAATGGGTTTAGCCATTTTCTTCTTTCACTGTCAAAATGACAATCCCAAAACCAGCTCATTTTGACACACCTCCAGAGCTCCCCAGTGGTGGGCAAGAGGCCTTAAGTTGGCCATCTTAACTTAGCCCTGTTTTGTTGTTCTTAAAATTAGGTTCCTACCACAACGGAGATGTTCTGCTGTTACGGGCCGGTGATTCCTCAAGGCTATGGGGCTTGCTACAATCCCCAGTCCCAGCATATCTTATTCTGCATTTCAAGCTTCAAAACCTGTCCAGAGACCTCTTCCAGCCAATTTGTCAAAGCCATCCGAGAAAGTCTAATGGACTTGAAAGAGCTCTGCAGCGGATCCAGCCTGACCTCGACAAGCCAACAGGCTAAACTGGAAGGATGTCCTCCGGTTGCCAGACCCTAATGGGGCCCTGCATGTCGTCATCTTTTCCTTCCTCCTCTTTGCAAAATGTCCTTAATGTTGAGTGATGTTTCTGTAAAAATGCCAGCTATTTATTGGAGGCAGGAGAACTTTATTTTTCTTTAAGCGAGTATTCCTATCCCTATTTATCACCACGGGGAGCTTAAATTATCGAGAAAGCTGACATTTCAGTGTTGCACAGAGCAAATGTGTGAATAATGTTTGACCCAAAGAATGAAATTACATGCAATTCATCTCAATGTGAAATAAGCAGTTAATGCTAGTATAGTAGAAATAGCTGCTGTGAACGTGCAATATAGCCCATGCCTGAGAGTTCCAATCTCTATAATTATTCATTTAAGAAAAATATATAAACTGCTTCGGTCTAAGCAGGATACAAAGAGCCATAGTGACAAAGGCAATGCAAACAATTTTTAAAAAAATACAGCAGGACCTGATATTGTGCTAACAATGTTAATTAAAAGTATTCCCCATTTCAAGAGCAAGGCTCCTAGAAAGAAATGCTTATCCCTCATTTTAAGGATGGATATGTGACTCCCAGCTTTGGTAGAGTTTGCTCTGATTGAACCTGCTGGCCTGGACTGACTCTGCCCTCTTTTTGTCCTCTTGAGCAATCAGTCCATGTGGTTGTGGTCTCGAGAGAAACCAAAGAGCACCATGGATGACACTGACGGTCAGTCAGATATTTCCAAGAACCTACTATAGGAATTATCTTTCATAAGAGTGCAGTCAAATCTTCTGGAAAAGATTGGGTTAGAAGCCAATGAAGATTGGAAAGTATTTTTCTTCTCTTCAATTTCTAAATTTTGAACCCTGAATTAATTAATTAATTAATTACTGTCTACCTAAAAGATAAGCCAGACTAAGAAGCTGATTCCATATCAATTAGGACTAGGTTCATTGCAAAGGCTATCGTAACAGAATATTGCAAGGTTGAATGTGCTTCTCTCCTCCCTCACTTTATCTTCCTATGAACTTGAGATGTTTTCTCAGATTATTCTCTTGGCCTCGGGCTCAAGCCCCACTTATCTGACTATTGCCTTAGTAGTAGCTATTCCCCCTGTCTTCCTATTCCTGATGCCCTCTACAATTACTAGCTCAAATGCTTCGCCTGTTATTGTACCTCTATCATATTCTCTTCAGATAAGTTGTAATCAGTGTTGCATGTTTTAATTGTTTCATTAGAAAAAAAAAGATGTTACATGTATGTGGCTCAGGGCTGAATTGTTGAATTCTTAGTGTTCCTTGAGCTTGTCTTCTTACAAGACGCTTCATTACCAGGGTAGGGAACACCATCAGGGCACAACGGAGGAGCACAAGAAAAAGATGTCAAAACTTCAGCTAACCTGCAAAGATTGTAGTTTCAACAATCCAGCTCCTGTAAGAGATCCAAGCGTGATCACTGGGCTGTTCCAGGATGGCCTGTGAGACAGCCTAAGCAGATTCTGCTAGGCAGAAGGGAAGCTTATGTGCCAGGACAAGACATTTCTTGGAGGGATCAGAGCTTAACAGATGTTGAAGGCCTCCTTTGCATGCAGACTATAACTGTAGTTCAATACTGGACATCTCCAGCCAGGACTTGGTCTTTCTGATAATCCAGTCTGTCAATGTGAACTGTACTGAAATAATTACATTATTATTAATTACATTAACGTCCTGGCTTTTAGTAAGGCAGACTGCCCAGCTCACTACTCTTCAAATTCCTAGCTTTTGGAACTGCAGTCATAGAATGATGGAATCAGAGATTCATATTTCTAGAGGCAGAACCCAATCTAGCTGCCAGAGAATCAAGAAGGACATGTAGAGTTACGTCAAGAGTAGTTTATTGTTGCTCATTTACAGACAGAATCTTGCCAGATTAAAGCAATTATTTGCACATCTACAGATATATAACCTGTGAATTGATAGGGAGGAACCATTTTAGCCCATTTCCTGCCTACCAGACATTCCAAGCTCTGCTGTTTCTTGGCCCACTCAGAAGGAAGGAACCCCTCTTTCCTGTGACTCTAGACTACGTTCCATCACACTAGCCCATTCCTCAAATTAAAACAGACAGCCTCCATTTGAAAATATCCCACAAAAGGAACCCAATACCCCACTTGGGTCATTCGTTCAACTGTCAACTTATTTTCCTGTTAGGGCTATTTACCCCTAACATTCAATCAGAATCTGCGTTCCTGCCATTTTTCTCCAGTAATCTTGCAGTCTGGAGAGCACCTTTTTGAGATGGCCACCATTTCACCTCTCGGTCTTCTCAAGACTAAAGGTGATCATTTCTTACCATCTTGGTTCATAGGACTATTTTCAGACCCTTCCTTCTTCTGGTTGCCTCCATCTGAACCAATTCTACTCTCTCTGTGTCTTCTTAAAATGTAGTGCCCCTAAAGGGAAACAAAATTTGTGGTGGGATGTGTCCAAAGCTAACTCAACATACCTGAAAAATGCCAGGTTGAAAAAGAATAACATAAGTCCTACCTCTTCTTGGCTGTATCTGTTTACATATACATTACATTTGTTTTTTCCTGGATGCCTGTCTTCTCTCCATCATTAGACCCATCTGCCTGGAGATTCTTCTGAGAAATGGGTGATCTACTATCTGGTTTACATGAAATGGTTAATGCAGTGAAACAATTCAATCTTTGTCCTGCATAATCTAAGGACTTTTCTTGAACCTTTCCTAACAGCTCAAGTTAATTCCTAGAAATAAAAGAAGCAGCAGAGAAATGCTCTGTATTCATGGATTCCAGAAACAAGCATGCTTTCAGTTTAAAACCGGGTGTTACCTCAAAGATCAGATTCAGGGATATTTTGAGAAATTTGACAAAAGTATCGGCTGAAGTCCTGTCTCAGTCCAGTGTGCTGGATAAAGCAACGTCTCTTGGACAGAATGCTTGTCCAGGCATTGTTAAGCAAAACTTACCCAATTTATATTCTGGGCACCTTTCCATCAAACTGTCCTATTATGTGACAACACTATTTTTCTCTTATATGCGTGCTTTGTGGTTGCTTGAGTTTCGGGGAAGTTTCCATGTCAGTTAAAGTGAGTTGTAGCCAAACAAGAGAATGCAATTTAACTTAGCAACTTAGAAAAATATATATCATGGCTATCTATGCAAATTTAATGGGAAATGTAAAAAAGGGGATTTGGTTGTGGACTTGCAGGATGAGTACCCTGAAGGTTTGTTGGAGATGATGAAGTCAAAAATATTGATTTATTAAGGGTTAACTATCAGATCCCTTGGTTTCTAAGGAACATGGTCTTCTTACCTTACTTTATCTGGACTGCAAGTTCCAACCAAGGGGAACTGAATCTTTGCAGTTGAAGGTTTGATTTCCAAAGGAAACTGATCATCAAATTCTCCATTCCTAGCAAGTTGGTGGTAACACAATGACACAATATAGACAGAACAGCAGCACAGTAAGCAATTCTCTAGCTTTCCATCAACAAAATTCCACCCACCCGAGTGATTTTGGACTCGTCTTTAAACCCACTGAACGTGTCCCATTGGAGCACCCATGCGGTTTGCCCAAAGCTCCTGGCAGCAGGACAGAATGCCAACAAAAGGGGGGGGCACCTGAAGGAGCTTTGATGAGGGTACCAGCAAAGCCCAAGTTGGGCATCTTGGTAGGTTGGGTTGTGAAAGCATCAAAACAATCAGTGAATTTTAGTCTTCTCGGTTTTCACAGCTGCGATTTTTTTATTTATAAAAATGTTTACATATTTATGCAATATATATTGAATGCACACATAAACCAAGCACTTTATTGGCATCTATAAGGTTTTTGGTTTTGGTTTTCTTCCTCCCAGGGGAGAATTTTTATGGTGAGGTATGTGAGCAAGCAAGGGTTATTTTTTTTCCCCTCTTGCGTTGCAGTCCAGCTCTCGCATTCCACAGCTGTTCTTTATGCAGAAAAAAAAGTAGATGGGTTAAATTGCATTCATCATGAGTCAATTTCCCACCTGGTTTGATCCAATACAAAAGTTACATTTTGGCGCAGGTAAGTCTATGAAACAGCATACAAGAGAGAGAGATCTGTTGCTCTTTTTTTAAGTGAGTATCTGGGCTTTTTAAAAAGTTGATCTTTAGATAAAAGAAAAGTGTTGTTTTGGATCCTTTAGGCAGGTTAGCTATAAGAACTGCATTCAGGTGAGCTGATAGCATTATGATGTAGCAACAAGGTGACAATATATCCCAACTTTTTATACTGTATGCTACATTAAAGTCAGTATTTTAGTAATGTTTTATTTTTATAACATAGTATTGATCAATGCCAAATCTAAATGTCTATTTCGATAGCCTCTGTGTTCAGTATGAGCTACAGATTGTGTGTTCCAGGTATCAAATCATTCCCATTGTCAGTTTTGAAGTTCATGGCACATTGTATACATGGATACTAAGAATTTAGAGTCCATTGGTTGTTGATTGCAAAGGTGAATAAAAAGCAATATTTAAAAAAAACAACAGTGGTAGGTTTTATTCTGAACCAAGTGTGTATTTTAGCCTCTCTTGTTCAAGCTTGTCTCAAGCCAAACTGGAGAACGATCTTGCTGGGGTGGGGGAAATATCTATTGATGTGGTTGCAAAGAATCAACATCCAACTGGATGGCACATAATCAATCAATTGACCAATCAATCATTTCCACCAAAGAGGGCAATCTATGACCTGCACACTAGCTCCCTATGTACCCCGTTCATACCTAATAGGGGCTGATATTTTGTTTGTTTGTTTGTTTTTGTTTATTTGTTCATTTGTTTGTTTGTTTATTAAACTTGTGTGTCACCTGCCTAACTGGATGTGATGTTAGGCCTTCTAGAATGCACCTAGATAAATAGAAATAATAGGAAATTTAAAATTCAAATAGGAAATTACAATTCAGTTAAAATAATGCTGACCCATGTGGAGAGCGAAGGAGCCAGGTGCACAGGGAGAGGAGGGGTGTGTGTATGGAGGAAGGGGTTCTCCACTCCATCAGCCACCCTCAAAGTGCCGCACCCCTATTGGGGTCCCAGTCTAATTGGCACAGCCCCTTCTTCAAGGCCTTTCAGAGGGCCAAGAGGGCAGTTGAAGGTCTCACCTGGAGGGGACAGGAGAGTCCAGAGGGTTGAACCCACAGGAGGAAAGACCAGAAGTGGATTGCCAGAGTTCAACCACAAAGTGACTGTTTTCTTTTTTCTTTGTAATGAATGGGATCCCTTCTCCCCCCAAAAAATAAGAGTGGGAACAGAAGCAAAGAGATTCTGCAAGACCAATGCTTCCCTTTTCATCCTCTGTAAGTCCTCCAGACTTGGTTAACTTGCCCCCAAATTCCATATTGGATCTGGGGCCAGTTGCAGATGCAAGTTCCTTCCTTCCAGATGTCTCGCAATGCTGGAGTAGAAGAAGGCCAAAGGAAATGTCCCTCTCTTCCCCAGTGCCAGCCTCCCTTCTTTCCTATGGTCTCAGCTGGGGCCCGGTAGCCGATCTGGGGAGAGAATGGGGGTCCCAGTCCTGGGATACATCCCTAACCTTATCAATCTTGGCAGCCAATATTAACACAAGCCTTAAGGGACTGGAGGGAGCCCCCCTCTCCCTCCCTCCCTCTCTCTTTCAGTTCAAATTATGGTATTATGAGTCCAACAGAGGGGTTTTTAGCGCCCACATCATTAGGAAAATGGCTATACTTTGAGTGCATGACCAAAATCTACACTCCTACACCAAGTCATCAAAATACCACCGACGTTGTGTCAGTCTGAAGTTCTGCAGAATCTCTCTCTCTGGGTCTGCCTGTCTCTCCCTCCTTCCCTCCCTCCCTCTCTCTCCCTGCAAACAAAGGGCCACAGAATTGAACACCAGCCTTTCTCCCCCTTTGTGACATTGCATCCCTAAGGAAACGGCAAGCTTTGCCATGGCTACTGGGAGTGTTGTCAAAGCCACCAGAGCTTCCTGGGCAGCAGAGAAGGACGTGTCTCAGCTTTGCCTGCTCTCCGTGTGTGCTTCCTCCTTCCTCAGGAGCCTCCTCAGAGCTGGCCCAGCGATGCCAAAGAATGCTCTGGTGACCCTCCGGTATGGGCCTTATCGGAGCTGCGGGGTAGTGGAGCACAGGACCTTCCGCCTGGAGGGCATGCAAGGTGTGTGACAGCCACTCGGAGGGGGTCTGGGGAGCTTCAGGGTTGTCCCAACTGGCCTTCCTTTGCTTTCCCCTGAAGACATTTCGCTTCTCATCCAAGAAGCCTCATCAGTAATGGCAGGAGGGCGGAGGGTGGTGGGAGCGGAAGGATGAGGTTGGAGAAGGGGAATAAGAAGTCAATGCCTGCATGGAAGCTGCCTTTGTGGGTGACAGAGGCAGGCCACATGTGGCCTCCAACCCCACCCTTCAATTTACAGTCCCCCGTCATCATTTTGATTTCCACTGCTGAAATGTAACAAAATTGCTGGATTTTGACTGCATGATGTTTGCCCATTTTGTGATGTTTGAGGTACTTTTGGAACCCCGCCCTTCATCCCTGCCATCCCCCCCCAAAAAGAACAAAAATGGGCTGACAGATTTCAGCTCTGTCCCACCACAGATGACCTTCTGTGGGCTTCAGAAGCTAAAGAGACTAAGCTGCACCTTTCACCAGAGGTGGGATTCAAATGTTTTTACTACCAGTTCTGCGGGCGTGGCTTGGTGGGTGTGGCAGGGGAAGGATACTGTAAAATCTCAGTCAGAGGTGGGATTTGCCGGTTCTCCGAACTACTCAAAATCTCCACTACCGCTTCTCTAGAACTGGTCAGAATCTGCTGAATGCCACCTCTGCCTTTCACGCATTGCCCAGTCTAAGCTGAATAAATCATCCAACTAATAAATCTACCCTCTCCATAGATATCTGAAAATGGTCAACTTATAGGTTAATTCTCAGGTGAACATCTTGGCTTCTACACTAACCTGGCATTGGTTAACCATGCCAATCTCTATTTGTAATAAGTGAGTGGAAATTCACTTAAGTTAAAGGACCTCTAGTTCTTTGCTTGCTTGCTTCTTTCACTGGGTGGAAAAAATGGCTGAAAGCTAACCAAGGAGGGAACCAACTTAGAACTAAGGAGAAATTTTACCAGTGGGAACAGAAGTTGCCTCCAGAAATTGTAGGTGCTCCATCACTGGAAACTTTTGAAAAGAGACTGGGCAGCCACTTGTCTGAAATACTATAAGGTCTCCTGCTCAAGGAGGGGAGTGGACTAGAAGACCTCCAAGGTCCCTTCCAACTCTTATTATTTTCTTATGTTCTTCCAACAATTATTTTTCCTATGGAGAGAAATGCTTTCCCCTGAATTGAAGGAAGTACTAAACCCAATAAGAACAGAATGTGCATGGAATTCTTTTCTCTTCTGATGGGAAACAACTAGGGTAAGGGTTTCATTATCGTTAGTAAAGTTTTTGCTTACCTTTGGGGGAGACTTTATATTGTTTTCTGCTCTCTGCTCTCTTTGGTAAGAAGGAGAACACTTCAGAAAAACTTACAACTTTTTGCTTTCTGTGAGAACAAGAAAGTCATTTTCTTTCTGAATTACAAAACCATCTGAACATCTTGCATGTAATTTTGGGGTGCTTTGTGAATGCTTTTAATGCTGAACAGAAGGCAGTTGTTGTTATCAACACAAAGATATTCAAATATATATATGTATATGTATATGTTTTCTTATATATATATTTGTATCTTCCACAAAACACCTGTGTCAAACAATGGCTGGGGCCTCCTAGGTGAAAATCCCCAAACAAATATGCGTTCAAGAGGGCCTTATTTAAACTGAGTTCAACAAGAGTTAGTCTCAGGTGAGTGGGCTTAACTTCAAAGGTGTTGCTAGCAAAGAAAACATTTGCTCTGCGGGATCACAAGAGGAAAGTTCATTTTTACCGCTCTTCTTTTCATACAACCTACTTGGATGAACTTATAAAGTGGGGCTGAAACTAGTTAAAACATGGAAGGGAAATCACCATAAATTATCCACACTGTAGACTGAGATTGGGAAACTTTCCAGAACTGAATGTAGAAGATATAAATGCTCCCGTATGATGGTCAAGGAAGCTACATGGGCAACATGAAGTCAGACTAGAAGACCTCTGAGATCCCTTCCAGCCCTGGGATTCTATGTTCGGAGTCCTTTTTAACTTGATTCCAAGGCTTAGTTTCCATGCTGATGCACATTGAATACAAATGGCCGATGATGCCCAAGACCATGGATCCTGTCCGCCTTTTTATAGGATGGCCCCTCAAAGCCAAAGCCAACACTTGCCACCCATTTCTTCACTTCACTTATAAGGGAAAACCCAGGCCTTTTCTCTTACAACCAATTGGTTTCTGCTTCGTTTTATTCCCAAGGAACCGATAACATCACCGTAGAGTAGAGTAGAGTAGAGTAGAGTAGAGTAGAGTAGAGTAGAGTAGAGTAGAGTAGAGTAGA